CCCCAAAACCCCAAAACCCCAAAACCCCAAAACCCCAAAACCCCTTTTTAATTTTATCAAATTGAACGATTCAATAAATGTGATTAAGCTTCCAGTTCAGAAGTCAAGAGAGGCAAATAAAGATCAAGGAAAATAATTACCTGGGATCAGTACATATTGATAGAAAGCTAAAATAGCTATGACCAAAGTATCCAACAATAACTGAAGTTTTAAGAGGGGTTCCTCGAACGAAATGCCCTTAGAATTTTGGCGTGATCATACTAAAACAGGTAGTTTGTAGGATATCAGCACTAAAGAAGGAAACAGAGACCCTTGATAGAAAAGATTGAGCAATTTGTCAAAGCATATATCGAAGCCTATGTTTGTCTGGACCTTTTGGAATTCGATAAGAGAATTCTGAAGTTGAGAACATTTCTTCAATATCGAAGTTAGCATGATATATTAATAATTTTGGTCCCAATAAGATATTTACAAAATTCTCTGTTTTGAAGCTGAGAAAACTCTTATCCAGAAAATTGAACCGCATAAGTGGTGTAAATAGTATTCTGTGCATCATGGTGTATTTATATTTCGTTGTATCATCCTAGATCAAGTTCCAAAAACTGGTGGGATGTTCATAGTCGAGCAGAAATGCTTAAATAATTTCAGAATTAATAATTAATTAAAAATCTAAATGAAAATTACTCTCGCAATTGTATTGTGTTTGGCTCTTGCCATGTCAAGCGCCTTCAGAATTAGGTAAGCAATACTTCTATTACTGTAACAATGCTCTCAATGTAGCTGAGACACTATAAAACTTTCTATGGACATCTTTGTCTGCATATTGATTCATTATTAATTCTAAATATCTAATCTGGTTTAGACAAGGTGATGTCGCTGCTGATATTGGAGCTGGTGTTGGAGCTGCCAACCAAGCTATTACTGACGGAGAAGAATTCTTCAACGACGCTGTCCACGGTGCTCAAGCTGCCGCAGAGAACTTTGCCTCACAAGCTGTGAATGGTGCAGGAGCCCTCGCTGGTATGATGGCTGGTGGAGCCCCAGCTGGTGGAGCTGCCGCTGATGGAGCCAGACTTCAGCAAACTGCTGCTGATGCTGCCAACACTGCCACTGCGGATGCTAGCACTCTTGCCACTGATGCTACCACTGTTGCCACCGATGCTGCCAACGTAGCTGCCGATGTCGGATCCCAATGGGTCAACACTGCCACCAACTTCCTCGGAGGACTCGCTGGTACCAACGGTGGTGCAAGACTCCAACAAGGAAACCTCGCTAATGACATCAACGCTTTAGGTCAAGCCTCTCTTGGTGCTCTTCATGATACTAATCAAGCTTTTGATGATGCTCTCGACCAGAGTGAAATGATTGCTAACAACGTTCTTTCAACCTCCGAACAAGCTTTCGGAGCTAATGGAGCAGCCGTTGCTAACCCAGACAGACTCCAACAAGACACAGCTACTGTCGCTCAAGATGCCACTGATCTTTCTAATGATGTAGCTGAAGCCACTAACGACGGAATCCAAGCTGTCAACGACATTGCCCAACAAGGACTCCAAGCCTGGACTGGATTATTCAACGGAGGAGCTGCTGCCCCAGCCGCCGCACCAGCCGCTAGAAGACTTCAGAGATTCCACTAAATTGCAGGTTCAAAGTAGGGGTTTCTTGAGAAAAACTTAAGAAATCACTGAACATAACTAATTGCTAAAAAACTGAAATTAAATTGTTCTTCAATGGGTGAAATGGCATAAGGGGTTTTGGGGTTTTGGGGTTTTGGGGTTTTGGGGTTTTGGGGTTTTGGGG